AAAAAGGAAGAGTAAAAAAAGTATAATACTTTTTTCATAGCTGTTTATTCCTGCCTTCAGAAGAGCAGCTTGCCTTTTTGCATCTCTTGCAATGCATCCGCAAGAGACAAAAGTGTCATTCTGCTGTAAAAAGTGAATAATTGAATAATAAAAAAATGCAAAATAATTTTTACATTAATAAACTATATCAAAGTATCTTAAATAAAAAAATAACTTGCATAATTAAAAATTAAATTAATTAAAAGCCAGTGATAGAGTTAAGTGACTCTCTCTGAAGAGAGTCTGGCAGAATAAGTGTGAATTATATGGATTGTCCCACATTACAGGTGTCGAGCATGTGGTGTGCAGTGGGTGTTTGAGGTTTTGAGCATCCTCAGGCCCCGTCCAGGGAGAGAGGGGGAGATCCAAGACTGTGCCGCGAGTGATTAGAGTCTACGGTAATCCGACCCATCCAGTGATCAGCGAGCTGGTAGAGGAGGAGTCTCACACAGGGAGGAGAAAGACTGACAGGGACCAAGGGGAGTTCTCCATGCGCACACCCCTACAAACATACACACGCAACTCCTGCTCTCACACATCGCTTTGCACACAGGCAGGGATCTTACGCACGAAGGACTTTGCATGAGATGACACCAAACCAGGATCTGGACAGCCTGCAAGCTTCACATAGCACATGGTAAGTCTGGAAGCACTGAAGGAACAAGCTTAGACGGTTTAAGTACTTTATAAACAGATCGCAGTGAGGTTTGTCTCAAAATGATATTTAATTTGGATTGACAGTAAGTCAGTAAATATACGGTTTTATGGAGTAATGGTGTAGATGAGAATGTTGAAACAAATCTGAAAATTAATTTCAGACTAAAACACCAAGAGCTTGTCGGATTTAGTCTTAAATTTGGTTTCGGTCTACATTGGTCTAAACCCTACATGAGGGTGAAGATCTGGAACGAATTAAGGTTTACTAAAAATGTGTTGGCTTCACTTAACAGCTCTGTTGCGAAAACCATAGTGAACCGCTGTGCTGTCTACATAGGCATCTTAACTGAGAGGAACCTCATAAGGGATTGATTTGAAACGCTCTGCGTTGGGACTAACTCTAGTTACTAACGCTCTGCATGGGAGACTTGACTCAAAATTGATTTTTTAAGAGTCTGCATGTTTACAAGCTAACAATATGATACTCTACCAGACATTAATGGGAACTGGGTAAAATTTCAATCGGATTCAACAGTTTATTGATATGGGAGAAGCCTTAAATTGCTAGTTTTTGCACATCCACCTGCTTCTCCATTAAGGACCAAATAATGCTAATTTATGCTGCTGTCTTTAACCAAGTGCACAAAGTTCATTCTGCCTATTTGGATTGTGTGTTTCAGATCTGGAATCCTAAAAACGGACAGAAACCACCTGAACCCAAAGCACAGGCTCATTTCCAAAGTGATTTACATTGCAAAGCCGCAATCTACTCATCTTGGACTTGCGTAACCAACTATGTCAAAGGATGAGGAAATTCCGAGCCCACCTCCAGAGTGGCCGGAAGAAATCTTAATGTAAACATATATCGGAAAAGCCTGGAGGAGAAGTCATCATGAGAAGGAATCTCTAGGACACTGGTAGAGTACTTAATAACCAACCCACAGAAGACTCTCACCGTCGACTCATTACATGGATATACAGTGTGGATGGACAGCTCACGCTAGCGCCTCCATGAGGGATTTGCCCTCCCCTCCTGTTGCCTGAGGTCAACCCAACACAACGCCACCTTGATAAGTCTGGCTTAGCTGGCCACTTGGTAAGGACACATCTTCTTTTGTTAGCATAAGCTGCTACTTACAGCCGGGGTGTTAAACACTGCAGAGCGCCACAGATTCAGGAAGTGCCACTGTGCCAGAGCGCATAGATCATGATTAGTAAACAGGTTGTTACATTAACTGAATCAAGATGCTGAAGTTTTCCGCACTTGGGGAAGTCATATCATCTCAGAGATTACCAAGACATCTGTGTTTGTCTCTTGATAAGAAATATTGATCTTATATTGTTTTATCAGATGCTTTAGACAGAAAGGGGAAGTCCCTGTTTGGTGTTTTTTACATTAGACCACAACAAAGTCCCCTAGGAGAACCTTTGATTCCTGCCCTAGACCTTCAGGCCACCATTCATCACTTACAGTCCATTTGAGTTCAACAAGCTTGACAAAGTCTTTTTTTAACCCATACCTTTGCAAAGTGGATCTCTGTCGGGCCAGAGGTATTTATGGGTAGTTTGATGTTTCCAAAGAGAATCTGTTGGTATTCAGGAACTCCCTTTGGGTTCATCCGCATTTACTCTTGTGACAAAATCTATTGCATCCCAAATATGCACTAGTAGATATTCTTATTGAGGACTGTGATTATTCCCTTTTGTTTCATACATTTAGAAAGGCTGATATATGGCAGCTGACCCGTAGAGATGACCTAATCATACTCGTCTATGGGATCTGGTGCATTTTGAGGTGCCAAAGGCATGGCAGGTTAAGCTTATATTCACTTGAGCCTTTCAACTCCCGTAACCTGGGATTCAATCGGGCTTAGCTTGCAAGCCTGAGTAAGGTCTGCACTGTAAAATCGATGCTTTCGCCCACACTCTTTCCCCTAGACCTCAGAGGGAACTCTCAAAATCGGCTTGCAGGTGCAGCGTTATCCATTCGAAATGCGACCCTGAGCTTTGACACGTTTCATTTTGATCCCCGCGCATTTTTCCAGATAGAAGATCTTGGATGGGTGCGTTTGTTTTCTCTGCCTGTCCTGCTCCGACATGCTCAGAGCAAGCTGCATTCAAGTGTGCCAGTCGCTAATCATCAGGACGTTTAAAATGCCATCACGCACAATAGCACCAGGGTTTTATTTGAGTGCGATCTGCTCTTCGGCACGCAGAACTGTCTGGATTGAGGCGAATTTCTTCATTGGCTTGCGAAAGCAAACATTCGTGGCATTCAATCCAGACCGTAAAATTCCACGATGCAACTGATTTATGCTTTACAGATTTGACTATCCATTTGTAATATCTGATAACACAGCTGTTGCCAAACAAAAAACAACAACTATGGAAGTTCTAAATCATGCATACATGATTAAAACGGTGTTGAATACATTGCGGTTTTGCATGCATTAATCAGGATGGGATATGCAAAGGTCACGTCCTTTTCGGCTATTGATCACTGGAGCGACGCACATGTGCATGTCTCTCCATTGTGCATCTGGGCTTTTATTCCTGTCAGATGTTCCAGTCTTTCCCTACATGATGTAAATTTTTACTACCAGCCACAAAAAATAACATGGGTGAAAGATGGCAGGAAATGCACTCGCAGCATTCACACAGAGCGGGCAAAATTACTGCTCTAACCTTTGGAAGCTCGGTTATATGATGATATCAAATTCCTGCCGCAGTAAATCCTCAGTGGAGCCACAAATTAAACCACAGAACTAAACTGTTGACTGGGCCCACATGGAAACTCCATGGGACTGAATGCCTGTCAGTCACAAACTTCTGCACATGCCCTGTCCTTTGTGTGTTTGTTTAGTGAATAAAACAGGAAAATTGGATATACTACATAGCTACTAATACCAGCTGTATGAAGATATTCACCCTCATGTCATTCCAACTTCCAATTTGGGGTAAAAACAACATTGGAGCCCATTGAATCTCTTTTTAGTATCTCTTGTGTTCATATTTGAGGGTGAGTAGATTTTTAGGTGAACTGTCCCTGTCACCACATTTTACTTAACATAAATCAAGTACTTAATATAAATCTACTACAATGAATTATCCAGACTTTACCCTTTTATATCACTAAATATAATCAAAGGGAGTTGAAATGCTTTTAAATTACACTGCTTAAAATTGGCAAAAAGCCCAAAAATAAAACAAAACAAGGTAAAATGTTGGACAGAAGATGAGAGTACCGTTTATTCTTCTGTAGCAGATCCAACTCTGTCCATAAGAGACATCAAGCTGAGGACAACAGGTCAGGTTCAAACCACCTCCATTTATTGGCTCTGGAAGAACATATGGGACATAATATCCGTTGCCCTAACCTCCTCCCACATTATACACAATATTGACTGAGAAAAGTGAGAAGAAAACATGTGCATCTTGCCTCGCCAGAATCAATTTTCGCGATCTGAGCTGACGCATTACAACAATTACTTATGTTTAGAATTCTATACATTAAAGCACATAAAAAGATGCTACCATAAATATATTTAATAAGAAATAAAGAAATTAAAATGACTGGTTGAATATTCATCCCTCAATTGCTATCTCTGCACATACCAATGACAATGACGTTTAAGAATAATGTTTGTATGAACCAAATATTCCCTCATAACAGTCGTACATATTCACATTATACCCTGTAGAACCACCAAACCAGTGCACAAGTTGGATGCAAAGCAATAGAATGCATTACAGAGTAAGAGAAGGTAACTTGACACTTAAATGTGACACCTCATCAGAGGAATCTCCATAGTTAACCTTTTCCCACTTTATACACTGTGCACAGACTGCTAATAAGTTGGCTCCATATGTGTCCAGTAAAAGTAGCAAGGTAACAATACACAAAATCACACATGTATGCTTTACTTAGAACATATTCAGTTTAATATTTAATAAACTTTAACTGAATGAACACTTTTAAACATACTGATATTAACTGGGAAGAGTGAGAAGAAAATGTGCATCTTGCCTCATCAGCGTCTAATTTTGTGGTCTGAGCTAATGTAACTCCTGCATTCTCCAAAGGCACTGATAAGTTTCGCAACACATTAGATGAATGTGATAGGCAAATGCCACAAGCCAAATTCAAACCCACATCACCTGCATAAGCACCTTGGCACAATGTTCTGAAGCATGTGCAATAATTGAGCAATTATTTTCCTGTTGAAGCATCTGTCAGGGTTGTGCAAAATGTTTGAGTGTGAATTTAAACTGGCCACAACAAACAGGAAATTGAATGGGATGGAATTTGAAAAAACTGAAATTTGACAGAGCAGGTTACTTTTGATATGAAACTAAGTCTCAGCTGTTAAATTGTGTAATTTTTTAAAGAAATTCAAACAATAAATACCGTTTTGTGGCTCTTTAATGTGTCGTGACAGATAGCTCTAGCTCCTCAGCTCAACCGATCATCTCTTCCTCTTTACTAGTTATACAGGTAGCACAAAATAAACATGAATGAACATCAGAAGGTATCTTGTTTCAGCATGTGGAAAGACGTCAATACACACCATTTTTCAAGTTCAAGTCCACCAATGTTATTCTACTCTCCTGTCTGGGGTGCGTTTCCCAAAAGCAAATACGGTCACAAGTTCCGTCGTTGCCAATAGAATTCAATGGAACTAACGACCATAGTTAGCTAACGATGATTTTGGGAAATGCATCCCCTGGTTTGTTTTGTCTGACAAAATGGTTATTATGATTGGTCAGATCGCCTGTCAATCAAACTCCTGGCGAAGGGTCAGTTGGAAAAGAAGTTTCACAAGAATCTACTGAATTGCAATTCTAATTATACAACACGGGTAATGCACTCTGTGAAATTAAGTGTTTTTCAACCATAGAAGACAAACATTTGAACAGGTAGCAAACATGTACGGCCTATAAACCTTTAAATTTTAAGGCTTTTTAAAGCTTACATTAAAATTTATGATAAACTTTGTTGTTCTAGTTAAAACTCACATGAATTTCTTTTAACTTGATTTGAATTCTACATTCATTTAAACTCCAACTGCATTGTAAAAAATGAATTGAATTATAATTGAAAAGGCATTCTCCATTCTCCTGAATGGCGTACGATCTTTACACTGTCAAAACGAAAGCATGTCGCTAACGCACAATGTTTCAGCCTCTTCGTAAAGATATATGCATCGTTCAGCGTAACGTATTGAAGTGTTAGTTCCAGGGTTATGGACCGATTTTACACTCGTTCACAGGTTCAGAACGTGACAGCTGTTGTATTTCAGACATAGCATCCACACATGGACTGGCTGACCTCCAAATACACAAACTAAATGCTAAATGGTGTCTTTCACAGCTGTCGACTAACACTTCCAGTAAACATGCCATTTCTAAGAGCAGATGCTCAGAGCCTTTGTCAGTGTTTATGGCATATTTTGAAATTGAGCCCGAATGTGACATCATGTTTAGTTTATATGCAACATTTAGGGTCAGCAGATGATAGGACACATTGGCATAACAACTGATAACTTAGCATGCTAACTGCTCCTCTGTTTAAATACGCATTCAGAAATTAAATACACAGAGACTAGCAAACTGTTTCAACAATAGATGTTGAAATAGTTGATTATGCAGTCTAGTTATGTAACCACTGGCCGATTTGTAAGTGACCCACTTCAACTGCTGCAAACATTTCATATACCTAAGCCCGTATAAAGTATCTGGACCCTTTTAGACGTAATTAGCCAGATGTAAAAATGTCTTAATGTCATTGCATTAGATAACAACATATCAAAGCAAGTATCTCAAATGCGGCAGGATCTTTTCTTGAAACTAAACTTTCTTTTTCATTTTTGAAGGCTCAGTGTGTTTGAATCAGCTGGTGTTTTGGTGATTTTTAGGTGTAGAGAAATCACATTAACTCTCAACATCATCAAGTAACCATAAACAAACAAAATACTCTTTCTTTTTAATACGACATCTATGATTTTGTCAAATGTGTTTTGTGCATCTTTCTTTACAGTAAATGACACACACTTTGACATTTTATCTAATGCAATGGCATTCAGACATCAAGTCAAA